TTGTCATGTTGATATTGTATGTTTATAATCTGTGATATAGTATTGTCATGTTGATATTGTATGTTTATAATCTGTGATATATTATTGTCATGTTGATATTGTATGTTTATCATCTGTGATATATTATTGTTATGTTAATACTGTATGTTTATAATCTGTGATATATTATTGTCATGTTGATATTGTATGTTTATAATCTGTGATATATTATTGTCATGTTGATATTGTATGTTTATAACCTGTGATATATTATTGTTATGTTAATACTGTATGTTTATAATCTGTGATATAGTATTGTCATGTTGATATTGTATGTTTATAATCTGTGATATATTATTGTCATGTTGATATTGTATGTTAATAACCTGTGATATATTATTGTTATGTTGATATTGTGTGTTTATAATCTGTGATATATTATTGTTATGTTAATACTGTATGTTTATAATTTGTGATATAGTATTGTTATGTTGATATTGTATGTTTATAACCTGTGATATATTAATGTTATGTTAATACTGTATGTTTATAATCTGTGATATAGTATTGTTATGTTGATATTGTATGTTTATAACCTGTGATATATAATGGTTATGTTGATATTGTATGTTTATAATCTGTGATATATTATTGTTATGTTGATATTGTATGTTTATAACCTGTGATATATTATTGTTATGTTGATATTATATGTTTATAACCTGTGATATATAATTGTTGGATTATCTCGATAACAAACCAGAATACATTGTGTAATTTTTACTGGTTTTCATGGGTTACCATTAAGAAGAAGATCATTCATGATTTTTTTCTATTTTCATAAGTGTATCTGTTCCTCAGAATAATAAATAAAAATAAAAATAAAAATTTCTTGTAAAGAGTATCTGGACACAGTAGTAATAGTATGTGAATGTTGCGCTACATAAATACACCATAATAATAATAATGATTTGACTCACCTGTCCCAACATTACTGAAATTTCCATATTTACAATAATTCGAATCGGCATTATTTTTGAGAACCTAGAAATGTCAGATAAGAAATATTTTACCGTATTTAAAATAACACCGCACAGGCTACAGAATGCAAGTATCGATGTGGGTTATTAAAATATCAATATATTAATTCATTTAGATGTATCTATTCTTACTCACAAACTACACGAGATAAATGATTTGTTTGTGCAAATTTCCCGTATACATATGTATTATTTTTTGGCGTTGTTAGAAATGAGTGTAACTCGCTTTTAATTTCACGGGAAACGACTCAGTTTAAATACAACTCGCAATTCCTCCTAAATACTTCAATACGCGACTAGAAAAATACACAATTTCCAACTGGTTTATTAAAAGCTGTATTTCCACCTGATATCTGATATATTAAAGGAGATAATTGAATTACATGTATACTCGAATCAACCCCTCCATGCGACCCACGTCAATTCATAAGAAATTATTTGAAAATCGATAAACATTTCGTGTTTAATGAAGTTTATAGTCTATGTTTTATGAGGACACATAACAATAAAGTTGATAAATTTGATATGATAACCAACTAACCAACTAACCTTAACTAACTGAACCGGCGCCACGGGGAGTTCTATGACCATTGGGTGCGTGAAAAAATTCAGATCCACGACCAATGTTATCTCTGTGTGTATAAGTGATAGACCCCCTCCACTTAACCCTGATACATATTCGTCGCATGTGCAATATTGGTTATGTGAGTTGTGGACCGATTCTAGAATCTTGCCTAAATTAGAAGTGGTATCAGCTGTTCTAGAAAGATAATACTTCTCTATCATGACTCCCAACAAAACTCCATTTGTAAGCCGTTGACGACAGACATTAAAGTTATCAAAGGGGGGCAACCCGTGTCTTTTTTTTTACAAGAAACAATTTTAAACCCCTCAGTAATAATAATAAAAAAGATTTAAAATATGAAGCAATCGTCGCTTTACATAAAATATCTATTTATTACACGAGCTGTTACACGTTGTCGACATATAACATATAATATCAGCCTAGTATAATAATCATGGTTTTTTTTTCTGATATTTAAAGAGGCCATCGTACATTGTAGATACGGGGGTGTGGGTGTCGAGTGGTCTAACACATGCGCTTTAGCTCATAAGGTCTGTCGTTGAGTCAAGTGACGTGGTTTCGATCCCAAGCCTGTACGTGACAAGGAGTGTGGTCGCCGACATTGATTTACCCCGGGTCCTCTTGTTTTCACCCACTGCTAAAGATCCCTACGCGTAAGCGAACTTTTAAAACAGAATAGTACTCTGTGTTCATACAAAAACCACCTAGATTTTTCGCTTTCTCTTTCTAGATTTGTACATATGAAAGAGATCAATATGTCTCCTCACCGATCACAATATAATAGATAACCCCGTATAACCAATTTATAAAACAAACAGTAATATGGCAATATATTATAATAATAACAACCAATACATAATAAAATCACCAATAATAAGGAATGAATGGGAGGATATAATATCAAGATAACTATGTAATAAGAATTATAAAATGCGGACTAATATCTAATATGTAATAACGGTGAATAGTGCGACAAACTACAGGGACGTTAACTTGTGTTTAAAGTTACTAATCAAACGAGGTTATTTATGTATAACTAATACTAATTAGCCCAGTTGGTGCAGAAAAGTAGGACGTTAAACTTCCTTTCATTTACAATCATAATAACTACTACTACTACTATTACTACTACTACTACTACTACTACTACTACTACAACCGATTCCAAACAAGCAGAAGTCTGTTTATATACTAACAGTAATTTCATGTATGTATTCTAATACATGTATGTATACTAATAGTAGATTCATGTATGTATACCAATATAGTAGATTTTTGTATTTATACTAATAGTAGTTTCATTTATGTATACTTATGGTAGAGTCATGTATGTATACTAATAATAGTTTCATTTTTGTTCACTAATAGCAGTTTCATTTATGTATACTAGTAGTAGTTTCATGTATGTATACTAATAGTAGTTTCATGTTTGTTTACTTATAATAGTGTCATGTATGTATACTAATAATAGTGTCATATATGTATACTAATAATAGTTTCATGTATGTATACTAATACATGTATGCATACTAATACATGTATGCATACTAATAGTAGTTGCATGTATGTATACTAACAGCAGTCTCATGTCTGTATACTAATAGCAGTCTCATGTCTGTATACTAATAGCAGTCTCATGTCTGTATACTAATAGCAGTCCCATGTCTGTATACTAATAGCAGTCACATGTATGCATACTAATAGTAGTTGCATGTATGTATACCAACATCAGTCTCATGTCTGTATACTAATAGTAGATTCATGTATGTCTGCGTCAAGACGGGTATAACATTCGGTTATGTTTCAATTTTACTTTGTAGCGTAAAATTTTGACCGAAAGTGGATTGCTATCCCGGTGAACATAGTCAGCTTATCAAATACAACAAAATCGAAGGTTTTATTTAAACCCCGATCAATTTGGTGAACGTGGTGAACAGTTTGTCCGGACAATGGCATTTCCGCTTACTCTTCATCGCATTCCAGTTTTCATCTGGATTTTCCGGTGTTGTTAGTGGTGCAGGACCATAAGTTTGTCCGGACAATGGCATTTCCGCTTACTCTTCATCGCATTCCAATTTTCATCTGGATTTTCCGGTGTTGTTAGTGGTGCAGGACCATAAGGTCTGGCAATAAGGACCAAAAACCGAGGTCCTGTGTGCATATTGGAGTTCACGTAAAAGAACCCTTGACAGTTGGAATTTGATATAAGAGTAGGCTGTCAGGGCAAAATTTTCCTCATAGTACACTGCATGGTGTATACTGGTCTTCATTAGCCGATTCCCAGAAGAATAGTAGGACGTAAAACGCAATTTCGTTTCATTTCATTTTCCAACTTTCAATGATTCTTTTACAATCAGGGGGGTTGGATGGCCGAATGGTTAGCACGTGCGTGCTGTATCATACGGCCTGTCATTGAGTCAACTGGCGTGGTTTCGAATTTCCGGTTGTACGTGACAAGGAGTAGGGTCGCCTGGCAAACCTCGTGGGTTTTCTCCTGGTCCTCCAGTTTCCTCCCACTGCTAAAGACCCCTACGCGCAAGCGAATTATTGAAATAAAATTATACCATATGTTAATCCCGAAATGACCTAGTTTGTGTCGAGTGGACGTTAACCCTCTCTCTCTCTCTCTCTCTCTCTCTCTCTCTTTTATAATCAACGTATATAATTAACTTTAATTAACTACAAAAGTTATATTTATATATACCTTGTGCTGTGTTTTTGTATTATACAAAAATGTCTTGACTACGATCGTGATTTAATGCATGTCAATCGAGGAAAGTAATATAATAAATTGGTATATATTTTTGTGGATGTAAATAACTCATTCGATTTAATAAAAGACCATATGCCGTAAATCATACGTTTCTTTAAAAAAAAAAAAATACTACACACCGTTTTAAACTAACACCTAACAGCAATGAAACGGATACATATTACGCAAAAGCCAAATTCCAAAATCCATTCACTTGATTTAATCCCAGCGTGTCCTCCGGGAAAGAAATCTAGATATAATTTCCTCTGTGTATCTATTAACATCCCAAAATAAAGTTTCATAAAATGCCGGTATCAGAAATATCTTTGTTAGCAACATGACGTCAATATATGACGACTTATGTAGCGTAAACTCAACTAATGTCGATGTTTGAGGTTAAAGGGACACCATACTGACGATTCCTGTGAATTACATCCGATTTCTAATGAACTTTATATTCTAAATAAAGTAATTTGTATCACCATCATGACAGATCATGTGATTGCGTGAATCGTCTGACTGCCATGCAAGTACCGAGAGAGAGAGAGAGAGAGAGAGAGAGCAAATGGAGATTAACGTCCAGTTGACACAAACCAAGTCACTTCAGGACTAACATTTGGTTCAATCTTATTTCCAGAACTCGTTTGCGCGCTAAATGGAAAAACCGGAGGACCCGGAGAAAAACCACGAGGTTGGACAAATGACCCTACTCCTTGTCACGTACATGTGTGGGATGGAAACAACGCCACTTGACTCAACGACAGACCTTATGATCTAAAGTGCACGGGTTAGTCCATTCGACCACTCACTTTAAGTATATATATAATAATGATGAAGTGTATTTTAGAAATATTGGACTGATAAATTGTTGGGTAGACTATTAATCTGATCGTCTGTCCTTCGGCATGCATAATTAAGGTGAATAATATTCATTGCGCCTTTCACATCCAATTATTTATATTTTCCAGAGAGAGAGAGAGAGAGAGAGAGAGCAAGAAGGAGGGAGAGAGAGAGAGAGAGAGGTGGGGAGGGGTTAACGCCCACTCGCAACTCGCCACAAACTAGGTCACTTCGGGATTAACATAATATGGTTCAATTTTATTTCAATATACTTGTCAAGTACTAGTCTGGGGTCTAAATCACATCTCTTGAATCTACCTTACTCCTTGTCACGTGCAAGCTTTGGATCGAAACTAAGCCACTTGACTCAATGCCAGACCTTATGATCGTAAACGCACTCGTTAGGTCACTCCCCCCCCCCCCCCCGCCGTTCTTGTTAGGATATGGAAGTGATGGTGTATTTATATCATTCAAACATCACTTTTTTTAGTTGATAAACAAAGATGATGTTAAAGATACATTATGGGAGATTCGATAAAGAGTTGGCAGTTCTCACTATAATAGTTAAAAACTAGATAACGTAAAGGTAATTTGCTGAAAATTCCATTCAAATTGATCCACTATGAACCGAGAACTAAGCGATTGAAAATTCCGCCTAGCCTCGATCATCATTACTTAAGTCAGTACGACAAAAAGCATAGTCTCGATTATCCACTTAATCGTTAAATCGTGAAGGAAAGTTATGCAGTAAATCGGCTCATAATCCACTAAAGATCGCAGGCTAGCGATGCCATCTAGATTTGATTATGGTCTGGATAGGTTAATTAATCTGTAATTAATAATTTAGATAACATTTCAGACCTAAAGTAAGACCTGCAATAGACAGATTTAGCTCTTGCATAATCTATGTTTAATATAATTTACTTCGTTGGCGTTCGCAACAAATCCTAATGAGCATCCAAATAACAACTGACAATGACTATTTTATGCACTACAGAGCCGACCTCAGTTTGTCTTCTCATCCATATCATGATACACACTGTCTATACAACCGTGTAGCGCTACTACCTCTAGTAGTCTCGATTACCGCGGCCCCATACCGTCTATGTGAAAACTGGGTTTAAAAAAAAGACAACGGTTTTTCTCGTCCAGACCACCGGGATCCATGTAGGCTCGATTACCGCGGCCCCATACAGTCTATGTGAAAACTGGGTTTTAAAAAAAGACAACGGTTTTTCTCGTCCAGACCACATCGGGATCCATGTATGCTCGATTACCGCGGCCCCACACCGTCTATGAATAAAGAGAAACGAAATAATTATTGGTAATAAACTTCGCAATATAAATGACGGGATAAAATCATCCCCGGTTATCAGTAGACCAAGCGAATAAAGATTTGGCTAGATTCCATGTGATTTAGAAAGCCCAATAATGCGTCTTTTTATTCTAAAATAAGCTACTCGACTTGTCTATAGCACTTTATATTCACGTTGCATACGGCAAAAGAAAGTTTATCTACTATTTGAAAAAAAATGGCTGTTCAACGTTTGCATTCTTTTGCCAAATTTTAAAAAGAATCGATTATGCAGTAAGATTGGACATGTTCGTGTTTAATTGTGTGCAAACTTTAAAATGAAATGAAATGAAACGGGATTTAAAGGAGCTAAATCGCTAATAATTGGGACATAGAAATTGACACAGAAGGGTCGCAACGCATATAATAATGTAATATGAATGTATATAAACTGATTCAATCGTTTCCGTTTTTTACTCTAATTTCTAATCAGTTATGTTCGGCGAAATACGCCAGAAGTCTCAATCGAATGGCAATCTCTAGGGTCTGGTTATTCCAGTCTACACCGATAGCATTTATTGTGCATGCTCTCCAGATGAGGATATGGCGCCACCGTTTGACATGACGTGTGGAATATGTCTAGCCTCGTTCTTCGATTCCCTTGTTACAAATGGCACTGAAACGCATTATGGTACACGATTCGTGTACCAATGGTAAAATGTTTATTTTGTCTTAAATATTGGATATCAGAAGCCAATCTTTTCCCGGTAAGATCACAACATCAATGTTAATTCAAACTGACAAATAATTCGTGTTTTCAATATCAAAGATTTTGGGTGATATTGAGTTAGAGACTTAGTTACTTTAAGGTGTAGGACTGGGCTAAAAACATTGAAGTCAATCCACTGTTCCCTGCAAATGCTGTCGTAATTGTGAATCTTTAGATATATAAAAAGCAAAATCTTTATACTATATAACATCACTGAAGTTTTGACAAGATTCTATAAAATATTCAAGGACAATAAGTCTATATAAATAATCATCAAGTTTACAAGTTGTTGTAAACGACAAATACAAAAACATTAATGTTTCATGGACAGTTTGATGGATAAACCTTATTTTTTTCGGCTGGTCCGCGTATCGGTCGATTCCGGTTACAAAAGAACTGCCCACATGAAGAAGATGAAGCAGAAGAAGAGAGCACAGAAAACAAAGCCTATGTTTACGTGCCTACAGGCACGAACGTGCCTCTGGATAAAAAATCCGTGTTTTGAAAATCTGAAATCCGTGCTTTGAACAAATGCTATGTAGCCTTACGTTAAAGGAAAAACGCAAGAAGCATATATTATTCTTGCATTATTACTTTGATTCGAATGACCAGCGCATATGTAAATAACTAAATACATATGTACGTAGACAGATTCTGATACATATGATACACATTCTCGATTTCCAGGATGTGAATGATCTAAGGTGATGGTGGTGGTGCGTCCATAAAAGTACCCTTCTGATGTGGATACCCTTATATGCTAAATGCTCTGCATATCCGCAACAATCGGTACCTGGTAAGCTATGGTTAATATCGAAATAATCTAAAGAAAATATTCAGCTTGCAAATTGTTTTTTTTAGATGAAGAAGACTAATAATGTAAAATGAAAACCAAAAACCAAGCCAAGATTGACTTCCTGATGTTAATACAGACCGAACTCATTTTTAAGAAACGTAATACCATACATAACGAAAAACAGGCACTTACTGGAATAGGTTCCACAAATATTTACAATTTTACCGCTCAAAACAATAAATACCTGTCGACGTTTAAGAGCAGATGTTATGTTATAAGAGAGTGTATATATCAATGAACAGCACAAGTGTTGCCAGGCGGCAAAAGATTTATTTCAAGACCACTAATCATTGATAAAATAAAATAAAATAAAATCAATTAGCTCTGATTTGTGAGGGAGTGGGAGTGTCTTTAGAGCATTATTTACGACCCTAAACTCTGACCAGTTTTCATGCTCTTGGCTACTGGTTTCAATGGGTGCTTGCTCTTCACAAAACAGTTGAGATACAAATATGCCTGTGAGAGATATTGTCATGTAAAGAGTCCATTTGGTTAATAGCCACTTGGACTGTGTGTGTATGTGTAACTACTGTTTCTGTAATGATGGTTGGATGGCTGAATGGTTAGAACGTGCGCGCTGTACCATAAAGTCTGTCATTGAGTCAACTGGTATGGTTTCGATTTCCCGGTTGTACGTGATAAGGAGTAGGGTCGCCTGTCCAACCTCGTGGGTTTTCTCCGGATCCTCCGGTTTCCTCCCACTGCTAAAGACCTCTACGCGCAAGCGAATTATTGAAATAAAATTGAACCATATGTTAGTCCCGAAATGACCTAGTTTGTGTCGAGTCGACGTTAAACCCCATTTCTCTCATTCTCTGTAGTGCGGAGTAAGCATGTGGCATTATCTATTACATGTTGATCCCCGTTCTACATTTCAACGTAATCAACCTCTTATCTATATTATCTTTACCCATCAAAATCATAAACCTGGTAAATTCAAACATCCACACAAATCGCCATGTAAAATGGGCAAAGGGGGAAAAAGACAATAAATAGAGGCACTAACCAAGCGTATGTGGGTTTACTCCAGATACTTCGGTTTCCTCCCACAGGAAAGACCCCTGCGCGTGCGTTAAGATAATAAAGAAAATGAAAATAAGACAACTTTTCTGCGATATTGCATTCGGTGAAAGCGGATGTTCAACACTAAGAACAACAACAACAGTGCAGGAATGTTTTGGTGTTCTGTGTCCTTATGACAAGGTTGGTGTGTTTAGTCTCGATTAACTCGATCATATACTGACGTCTTGGTATAACCAGCGAAACCAAAGATACATGGCATGCACACAAATGAAACATTATTTCCTTTTATCATATAAGTAAATCTTTTCATCTGAGTTTTTACATTGGTACCATCACTTAACCAAACATAAGTGAAACGATTTGTAGATGCATGTGAAACGGTAATTATAGTGTTTTCTCGTGTATTTCTTGACATGTCTGCCAACAACGCAAAGAAAAAAGAACGAAGAAATAATGGGGTTTAACGCCCCGCTGTTCTGCTCCGACTGGGCTAATTAGGGCGGGTATAGGTCCTTCGTTTATATACAGTATACTATGGGGGAAATTTTACCCGGAAATCGGCGACACGATCTAATCTTAATAATAATATGTACATTAATACTGCTCAAGTTCTATGTCATTATGCATGCACAAGACGCTACCACAGTCTAGGTGCCATAATAGGCCATGAATAGATGAGATTTTAATTTGGTTTCTAGGCTGGATGGTAGTTTAATGTTAAGGGGTAACAAAGTCCACAGAACAGATACAATGTGAACAAACAATCTGTATCCAAATGATTTGGGTTTATATTTTTGAATTAGAAGAAAGTGTTCTTGTTGAGAACGAAGTACACGTCCAGGAAAAGATGGTGATAACAGATCTAATAGATAGGGAGGCCCGTTTCCATGGAAACCCCTAAACGCAAAGCACAAGAGCTTAAAATCGAATCCTGATTTAATGGGTAGCCAAATGAAGTTCTTTGAGTGCCGGTTTGATATGCGAGTTCCTGGGTATTCGAGCTGCAGTATTTTGAACAGTTTGGAGTTATGATATCAGTTTGTGGGATATACCAGATAATAGGCTACTTCATTAGCCCATGCAGTCTTGATAACACGAGCGATCGAACCAGGGGCCGGGTCCTTAGATACGAGATGTAAACACCAAGATGTTTAACTTTGTTGGCTGGTTTAATTTCAGCTATTTCAAAGTAGATATATCAAATTTGGATAGTGGATACTTTGATCCAATCATGATAGCTTCTGGTTTGCCATCGTCTAATTTCAACATTTGTAGACGTCCAGCTTTTTAAAGTTTGGGTGCATTTTGATGTACGTTGACAAGATTGATCAAATTTACATGGTTAAAAACTGTTGATAATCGGAGTGTCGTCTGCATAAGAATGATGTTATAGGCTATGTTGGCTGATAGTATGAAGAGAATAAATAGAACAGGTCCTAGCACCAATCCTTGGGGAACTCCCAATGTAATTCAACAGTATCCGACGTAGCATTTACAATGATAACGGCAATGATTTCGATTGTTTAGGTATGGGGCAAACCATTTCAGTCAAGGTCCTTGAATACCATGTTGGAACTCGAGGTTTTTCGTCATAATATCATGGTCATTAGTATCAAACGCCGCGAATAAATCAAGTAATACCAGAGAAACCACCTTTTTCGCAATCTACAGCGCAACGTATATCACTAACCAGCCTAAGTAATGATGTTTCTGTACTATGATTTTGTCTATACGCGGAATGAAATTCATCAAATAGAGAATTGGACGATAAATGTTCTCGAAGTCTAAGATTAACAGCCTTCTCCAATATTTTTGAGAGAAAAGGATGATTCCATGCCGACTAAAGGTTTTTAAGTTAATTTGGTTCTAAATTATCTTTCTTAAGAGGGGGGGGGGGGGTCGTACAACTGCTAGTTTGAAGATGTCAGTAAAGATTCTACTTGATAACTGGATGAAGTATAACACACATAGACACGGTCAAAAGTTACAAGCCAACAACCCTAGACATTTTCAATGCGATCACCGTATTAGTAAAATAGCAAGAAAATATAATATGAATCGGAAATTGTTACCGCAAAGGGGGAGGGGGGGTTCTAGTCTGGTCAGTTTAAAGGAGCTAAATCGCTAATATTTGGGACCTAGAGATTGACATAAATGGGTTGCAACGCATTTAATAATGCAATATGAATGTATATAAGCTGATTTACATTCAATCGTTTCCGTTTTTACTCTAATTTCTAATCAGTTATGTTCGGCGAAATAAGTCAGAAGTCTCAATCGAATGGCAATCTCTAGTGTCTGGTTATTCCAGTCGTACACCGATAGCATTTATTGTACATGCTCTTCAGATAAGAATATGAGGTCAGCGTTTCACATGACTTGTGGAATATGTCTAGCCTCATTCTTCGAGTCCCTTGTTACAAATGGCGCTGAAACGCATTATGGTACACAATTCGCGTACCAATGGTAACATGTTCATTTTGTCTTAAGTAGTTGATATCAGAAGCCCATCTTTTCCCGGTAAGATCACAACATCAATGTTGATTTAAATTGACAAATAAGTCGTGTTTCAATATCGAAGACTTTGGGTGATATTGAGTTAAAGACTTGGCTACTTTAATATAAAATACACAAAAAAAAAACGTGCATGAATGATTGCAAATATTCCTTCGACACAGCTAGTCATTTTAATACAAAAACACACACAGAAATCATTTAATATAAACATACACAGAAGTCACTCTAACATAAAGATACACAGAGGTCACTTTAACATAAATATACCCAGAAGTCATTTTTAAATAACGATACCAAGTCATTTTAACATAAAGATACACAGAATTCATTTTAACATAAAGATACACAGAAGTCATTTTAACATAAAGATACACAGAAGTCATTTTTAAATAACGATACACAGAAGTCATTTTAACATAAAGGTACACAGAAGTCATTTTAACATAATGATACACAGAAGTCATTTTAACATAAAGGTGCAGAAGTCTAGTCATTTTAATAAAACAAAATATCCGAAAACGTGTGCATGAATGATTACAAGGCACCGTTCGACACATTTTAATATGAAATATACAGAAGTCTAGCCATTTTAATATAGAAAATACAAAAAAAACTTATGCATGAATGATTTCAAGGATTTGTTCGATTGTCCCAATTCTATTTTAAATTGATGAAACACCTGTTCGTCATAATAAACAGTATTAATATTTGTATATCAATAGACATGGATAACATAACCTATTTATTTATTCATTTAGTTTGTTACTTTTATGAACGAATTAACCTGGCCATAACCTACAGTCTTCCTGTTATAGCTAACAATTGAGAATGCCTGGTACGGATATTCAAGCATATAAATTTAGCAGTTAGTTGAGATAGGCGACAATGAAATTCAACATCTAAGAATATTTTTGGAAACAGAAAGTCCCGACTTAAATTAAATCTCGCCTTCTGTATACCGTGAAAGAATAGAGCAGTTTGAATCGACAGCATTGAAACTGTAAGAATTGCGAAATACTGTCGTAGAATTTCAATCTCGTCATTTCGTAAGAGATAGAATTTTTAACATTTGAAAGATAGTCTAATCAGACGAAATTGTAAAAATAAAATATCTTACCGTAACTTCATGTCCATTTCTCGCCCTAAGACTCTGGGTATGATTGCTATATCCCTTTCGAGAGCTGGGAGAAACAGGGCGAATACTTTTACCTATCCGGGATCGAATAGGGAGCATTATTCCTTGTATTGACTAACGTTTATTGGCAGACGCCAAACCCTTCATTGTTACCCATACTCCATTTTGAATCACATCGATACCGTGTATATAATGTACCAGTTCCATGCTTTTGTCGTTTAGACATGTACCGTACTCAGATTATTCCTGTTTCTAAAAATAATAATCACTGAACACCACAGCTTGTGCTGGAATTAGTTTCAAGCATGCCTCATGTTCCGTCGGCTGTGTAGTGATAACTTGATGTGTTGTGTAAATAGATACATATATTTATATACATTTATAAATAAGAGTAGACTTATAGTAGGTGTATTATACAATATATATAAAGATATGATGTACAGTATATCCCATCGTATTCTACTAAATCACATATTTCAACATTATATACTCGCAGATGTAGTTAAACGGTTTTAGTATGGATTTTAACGTGGGTTGATTTCCCCGTATAGTCCGTGATGAAGAGATGAAATCCACCGTAAGTTATGTCATTTATCGTCATTTATATATATTCATTCAGTGTCCAAATGACCTTATTGTGCATAATAAATTTGATGTATAAATAATTCAAATATATACGATACTTACATTTATTTAATGACGTGTCAAGGCGATATGAAATTGGGTTTTAACATCCTACCTTTCTGTACCAAACATGTTAATGATGATAGGTATACGGGAATTTTTTCCCACATCGCGGCGAATTCTAACTGTTAGGGTTTACGTTTACGTGCTTGCCAACCAGTACACGGGTATACGCTTATTTAAACGGATGTCAGGGCGGGAAAATAATAATAAATATATAACACGTGGTCACAAAAAATAGGGTTACTTAGTAGGAAAATCTTATTTCTGTTTTTATTTCCTTTTTTCTTCAGTCAAATTACTTTCTTCAGAGCAAAGTTATGACTGTTTTATAGAGTTTTGTAAGAGTAGCGTAGTCTCGATTGTCATTGCTACCTTTGTTTCGATACTAAACAAAGTCTCGATTGTCCATTTTGAAATTAGATTATTAAATGCCGATCGTGTTCCAATCCATTCGATGTTCTAAAGAGTTAAATATGGACTTGTCATGTGAATAAATTAAACATGCATTATCTAAGAGCTAAATCTGCCTATTGCAAGTCTTTTTTAGGCCCGAAATATTATCTAAATTGTTAATTAGACATTAATTATTATTATTCAGACCATAATCAACCCTCGGTGCCATCGTTAGCCTGCGATATAAAGTGGACTTGAATAAATTTTACGATGAATAATTTAAAGTAAAACTGGATAATCGAGACTTTGTTTATTATCGTACTACTAACGTTACTAATGACGATCGAGGTTAACCTAAAATTGAATCGCTAATACCTCGGTTCAGAGTGAAGGAATTTGACTAAAATTTTCAGAACTGTCAGCACGTAATCTAAGCTTGCTTAAAATACAGACGTGACGTCATCCTTTTATATTGGCATACCATGATTTCCAATAATGTATGGGCAACTTGCCAATCGTAAATTATCTATACTAGATGAAATATTGGACTCGCGTGGCATATTTAATTGAAAAGCACGTGCGGGATAGTGTCTGTATTTAAAGCTGTTTAATGGTCTCCAGCTAAAGACATTGCGTAATATATTGAAACAACACTCGGCTAACGCCTCGTGCAGTATCAATATATTACTTAATGTCTCGCTCTCGACCATTAAACCATACGTAATGCCCCTTTAATAATTTATATAACATAATTTATATAGAATAAATACCTGCAATATAGGCAGATTTAGCTCTTACATAATGGATCTTTTATTACTGAAATAGGTTCTGGAAAATAATGACGATTCCGATTGATACAATACTGGTGTCTGTAGATAACCACGCCAAGGGGGCATGAGGACAAAAAGTTTACAATTGATCGGGTAACTATGGAAGCCTATAACTACAATTCATAATTTCTACTTTTCGCCTCTTCAGAACACGAAAGTCGAAAAGTCGAAAAGTAGAAGTTACGACAAAATGTGAGGCGACAAGACGGTATACAAGCCAAAATCAACTCGAAAATAGGAAATTAAGAAATAACACACCGCGATAATAGCGCCCCCCCCCCCGTTTTTTCTTAATTTCTACTTTTCGACTTGCATTTTGGCTTGTATACCGTCTTGTCGACTTTCGACTTAGTCATAATTTTGTATTTATTGATTTCAGTAAGAAGGCGCCAACACGCTATACTAGCCAAAATGCAACTCGAAAAGTAGAAATTAGGAAATTAACACACTGCGCTATTAGCGACCTATGATCTGTCGCACTGTCGACTTTTCGACTTTCGACTTTTCTACTTTTCGCCTAGGAAGTTGTTGTAGTCTCTGCCTTCCAGGTCACATTTGAATACGCGCAATTCCCGTTAACAAAAATGTCTGTGTGATAGAGTCTAGTAATGATGGCGATTATTTTGGTTAACACTCTTTCGTAGCCAATACAAAGTGACAGGCATCATAGTCACTAGACAAGAATGATTGTCCGCTGCCAGCCTTCACCTTCGAAATATCAAGGGAAATAATTTGAACAATTGGGTGCAGACCACATTGACTACTACGTAAATGTAAAAACCCGTTTACCTGTTATTCCAGGCCAGGAGTTTAAAGTAGAAAAATAAACTAATATAGCCTTATTTATATCGCTAACTTTGACAACCTGTCACCCATAACGCCATTAATACCGCCCCCACTATACACAAAAAAGTGACGAAAGAAATAAATATTCTATACACTCCCACCCACCACCCACAAACACCGTATTTATATCGGAGATTGGCTCTTACAGCAGCAGGATTTTTTTTAAATTTCGATTGGCCCCAAGACACGATTTTGTATTTAGATTCGTGTCACAGCAGGAATTTCTTCATTGGTCCCAACCACAGGATTTTTTTTAGGTTATCCCTCACGGCAGGGATTTTGCTCAGATTAATCTCCAGCGGGATTTTTCTGTACTCATTTATATTAGTTCAGATTGGCCTTCACAGCAGGATGTTCTATAGGTTGGTCCCAACAGTAATATTTTCTATAGATTACTATCACAGCATATTTATTACTGTTACAGCATATTTATTAATATAACAGCATATTTATTACTATTATTTATTACTTCTACAGCATATTTATTACTATTACAGCATATTTATTACTATTACAGCATATTTATTACTATTACAGCATATTTATAGTGGACCCTTTCATATACCGTGTCCAGTGGCACTTTACAAACTGGCAATGTAACCATATATAAAAAAAACCAAAACAAAACAAACCAACAAGCAAAATTATGGACATATTATCAGTCGCATACTGTGTCAGTTAAATCCTGTTTAAATAAACGTGTTAAGTTGTTTTTTTAAAAGAATAGAAAGATGTACACTATTTTATAGTAAATGGAAGATTATTTCATAAAACAGGCAGTTAAAAACTAAAAGAGTCCCGGCGATAAGAGACAAATAAAACAGGGTTGGCCTTGAAAAGTAATTTATCTTAGGCCCTATGTAGGCTATGAATGTTCGGCGCATCAGAATTTTTCGTCACAATAGCAATTACAACAGAATGGCTTTTCAGCTTGGTTCATACAGTAGGATTGTCTATAGATTGGTTCCAACAGCACCACTTTTCTTTAGAATATCCATTATATCAGGAATTTCGTGAGATTATCCATCACAGCAGATTTATTCGGCAGAATAGCCACTACAACAGACGTTTTTTTTGTCAGAATAGCTATCGCAGCAGAATTTTCTATAGAATGGTCCCAGCAATTGGAATTGTGATTAGATTATTCAGCAGAGGAGCAGGAATTTTCGTTAGATTATCCACCACAGCAAAAAAAAATTCATCATAATAGCCATTACACCAGAATTTTCGTCACCAGAATTTTCTTCACAATAGCCATTACACCAGAATGGCTTTTCAGCTTGGTTCTCACAGTAGGATTGTCTATAGATTGGTTCCAACAGCACCATTTTTCTTTAGAATATCCATTATATCAGGAATTTCGTGAGATTATCAATCACAGTAGAAATATTCGGCAGAATAGCCACTACACCAGACTAATTTTTTTGTCAGAATAGCTATCGCGGCAGAATTTTCTATAGAATGGTCCCAGCAATTACTAGACTCTATCACACAGACATTTTTGTTAACGGGAATTGCGCGTATTCAAATGTGACCTGGAAGGCAGAGACTACAACAACTTCCTAGGCGAAAAGTCGAAAAGTCGAAAGTCGAAAAGTAGAAAAGTCGAAAAGTGTTATTTCTTAATTTCCTATTTTCGAGTTGATTTTGGCTTGTATACCATCTTGTCGCCTCACATTTTGTCGTAACTTCTACTTTTCGACTTTTCGACTTTCGTGTTCTGAAGAGGCGAAAAGTAGAAATTATGAATGGTAGTTATAGGCTTCCATAGGTAACCGTAAACACATTTTTTTTTTAATTTTTGGCCTTAGGCATATATGAACAAAGAAAATCATAATGTTAACGTCATCACATTACTTTTTTAACAGTGTATGACATTTAAGTAAAAGTAATAATTATTTGATACCAGAACTGACGTTTCATATTTATCATTCCAAATGAGATATCAAATTTGAACACCACAGATATGACTGTAATAGCCAAATCGCGGCAAATTGAAAATTATTTACATTTATCGGCGTACAGGGGGGCCATAACAATATTATTTTTGTTACCAGACATGCCGATAACTAAGTCAATCAATCAAAATAATAGTGTTATGCCATTTAAAAGTCCGATTGAAAATTGGACTACGACCCCCATCATACCCTCGGCACTTTAATATCAATTTATAAATTAGAAAAGAAATCATAACCCACAAATACCCCCTCCCCCATCCACACACACACACGCGCGCGCGCGCGCACAAACCCCAATGAAGGGGGTTTCGCTGGCTGAGTGGGTAAGACGCCGGCTCTCTAGCCTGGAGGTCGGGTGTTCGATCCCTGCATTTGCCGAAAAAGTTCATTCAGATTTCCTGGCGTGGTTCCCCCTTGTCAGTGATGCAGGATGGAGGGCCTGACAAGGACAGCTGTCTAGTCATTCGGGTGATACGAAAAACCGAGGTCCCGTGTACACATTGGCGTGCACGTAAAAGATCCCTTGACAGTTGGAATTCGATATAAGAGTAGGCCGTAGTGCCGCTGTCCGGGCAAAATTTCCCCTCATAGCACACAGTATGGCGTGTGCCCCTCTTCATTAGCCCAGTTCGGAGCAGAACACTAGGACGTTAAACCCCATTTCATTTCATTTCATTTCATTTAAAAACCCCCATGAAGTATGTGTAAACGAGTTCCGCATTCAAAATAATCGTACAGAGCTCCTTAAACTGATCAGCATTAAATATTTGCTTGGCTGCTACTATCACTGAGAGGGATGACACCGAGGCGAATTAATTAGCTCTCAATATTAGCCGTATGATGTGATGTCACACGTAGACATATACTACAC